GGGGGGGTGCAGTTAGCATAGATGCTCGTGCTAACACAATGTGAGACGGACCCAGGCTCGCCCACCACTTTTAATGGTAGTAGATGTGCATTTAAGCATCAACTATGACTTTAAATAAACATAAACGCTTCATTTAGTAAAACCTTATACCGTCACGTCTTTAAAATAAACTTTAAACTAAGAACAATAGCATTGATGCTAGTGCTAACATAACATGAGAGCTATCTAGACCGGTCTACCGCTGTTTACAAAAATAGTGGCAGATGTGGGGCATTGTCGCAAATGCTAATGCTAACACAACGTGAGAGTGGTCCAGGCCGGTCGACCACAGTGGACGAATAATGCTAGATGTGCATTTAAGCAACAAATACGACTTTAAATAAACATTTACTGTTCATTTTATGAAAGATTAAACATCATGTCTTTAAATAAACTTTGTCTGAACAACATTAGCACTGATGCTAGTGCTAACGCAGCTTGAGAGGTGTCCGGACTGGTTCACCTCATCTTTATTTGATTGAATTAATAAAAATGTGGTGTGAATGTGCAAATTGAGGGTGGGGATATGGGGGGCGGGGGGCGCTGTAATCATCGTGTGTCTCCGACAGTGGAGGAAGCGCGACCAGCCTGTACGTTGACCCGGCAAACAGGAAGCGTGACCCTTACCGCACGCTCTCCGTCTTCCTGCTCATGCACTGGTGCAGGAGGAGGTAGTCCTGCGGCGCGCTGTTGGACAGGGCACTGTGGTGCGAGTGGCGCACAGGCACGTCGAAGGTGAACAACACGGGCTGGCTGGAGTGGACGGGTGCCGACAACTTGCCGCCGCCGCCGCCGATGGCGCTCAGGGGGGCCGCCGAGCCGGAATCATCTGCTCCAACGGAACGCGGCATCTGTTGCAGGCGGACATCTGCGTACAAGGACAGAGGAGGACACGTTTTTGATTGGAACACAAAAGGCTGCCCGGCCGAAGGGCGGGGCTTGCTTGTCAGTCACCGAGATTTGTGTGTCATGTCACACATGTGAGCGACGTACACAAAGGTGAGAGTGGGTGATGTTTTATTGAAGGCTCTGAGGCTTTACATGACCTTGGCGTGCATCAGTCTGCGCTTGAATCAATAGCTAAGAAGGATGCGCCTGGAGGGAGGTGACAACACAGCATCATCCAGATTTTTTTTTTCCTTTTTTATTGGGGGGAGGGGTGTGCACATGATCTGAAGCCCGCTTCGATCCTGCATAGACAAACAACCTGCTGCCTTTTTCCACCGCTGCCTTTTTCCCTGCCGTGTGACGAGCGAGATTGCTACATCAGAGCGCCGATGGGGGCGGGGAGAATACACACGGATGGGCAGGAGGCCAGAGCAAGCGGAGGAAGATGAGGAAGAGGAGGAGAAAGCAGGCAGCAAGCCAATCCATCGATCCGAGGTGCTGCATGCAACTCGAGATGAGCATGAGCAAAAAAAAAAAAAAAAAAACAAAAAACAAAAAAACTAAACCTTCCCTAAAGCTAACCTCTCAGTCACTGTAGCACAAGTGGATTTCAGTTCCAATATTTTTCTCATGCAGGGGCTGTGGAAAGTGTATCAGGTTTTTACTTGGAATAGCCCTTTAAAAAAATGCATTTAAATTAAATAAATAAATGTTGACAATTGGGTTGTAATAATACAAATATCCTATGAATTTATTTTTTCTATGTTCATTTCTAGAGCACTTTCAAACAACAGCGATGCACATGAAGCAAAAGGAAGTCAGACAACAACAAACGACAAAAGAATAAATCAATAATGAAGAGAGTAAAAAAATAAATAAAAATTCTCTCCCAACAACAATAGCATGCAAAGTGAACCTCGGCATACTGGACAATGCTGCTCAATGAGTCAGACATATCAGAGAGGTGCGACTCTGCTTGGTTTCCATGTGCAGTGGCCCCAGAGGTCAAGCTGCTCTTTTGGAACGTTCAGATGAGCCATGATGTCACACACACACACACACACACACACACACACACACACACACACACGCAATATGTGTGTGTGTGTGTGAGTGTGAGAGAGAGTGTGTTGGCGGCTGGTGGTGGGATTGGGGTGGTGAGTCAGAGTGAAGGGGGTTGGGGGGGGG